TTCAGGAGTCCGTAGACCTCTCCTGTTAGCCACGGCTTCTGGTTGGCCCGGGCAGTGATGGTCTTTGTGACTGTTACATCATCAATGCACTTGGTGATGTAGGCAGTGACAGTCTCTGAGAACACCTGGAGGTCTGTGGTGTTATTGTATGTGGCAGCCTGCTTAAACATATTCCAGTCAGTGGTCTTAAAACAGTCTTGAAGCCTCTGACGACCCTTCCGGCCACTTGTATCTGTTTGTGAACTGGTTTGGTGACTTTCACGAGCGGTCTGTATGCAGGCATTAGCATGACAGTGATGTGGTCTGAGGCACCGAGGTGGGGGAGGGGGAGGGCCTTGTAAGCTCCTCTCTGTGTGGTGTAAACAAAGTCCAGCGTGTTGTTTCCCCGTGGGGGAGGGGAAGGGCCTTGTCTGCTCCTCTCTGTGTGGTGTAAACAAAGTCCAGAGTGTTGTTTCCCCGTGTTGGAACGTCTATGTGTTGGTGTATTTTTGGGAACACACTCTTTAAGTCTGCGTGGTTGAAATCCCCAGCCAAGATGAGAAAAGCATCAGGGTGGGCTGTCTGCTGCTCACTGATGTGCTAGTATAGTTCATTCAGTGCCTCGGCCCTTTTGCTGTTGTTGGAGCTGAGAGGGATGTCTACAGCAATGAGCAGTATGGATGTATATTCCCTCGGTAGATAGAACGGCTGGCACTTAATAATCATAAACTCCACCAGGGGTGAGCAGTGTTTGCAGACCACAACAGCATCGCGGCACCACGCATCATTGATGTAAACACAAAGCCCTCCGCCGCGGGTCTTTCCTCCCTCGACGCGAGCTCTGTCCACTCGATAGCATGTCATCTGATCGAGATGAATAGCGCAGTCCGGAACGCTGTTGTTGAGCCATGTTTCCATGAACACAAAAACACAACAGTCTCTTACAGTCCTCTGAGTTGAGCGTAGTAGTCGGATGTAGTCCAGTTTATTGTCCAAAGAGCGTACGTTAGCCAGTACGATGGTGGGGATAGCCGGCTTGTGTGGGTTAGCCGCTAGCCTAGCCCGGATACCTCCGCGCTTACCCCTGTTCTGTTTCCTCTTGCACCGCTTGTGGCGCCTCCGCTGTGGGCGAGATGCAGTAGTGGGGGTTGTGATGGTGTGGGCTTCCGGAGCAGACCGAGATCCCGCAGCTCTTCGGTGTGCGCATAGTTTAACTCTAAAAATGTGGTTCTGCTGACATCGAGCAGAAACTCACGACTATATGCGCGCTTAGAAACAAATAGACGCAACGAATACGTACAAAAACACTGCGACTCACAAGACAAAAAACATGAAAACACCTTTCTGTCGGGAGAGAGAGAGAAGCCGCAGCGTGTGAACGCACCGGCATCTTATTAGCTAATAAATTCATAGCATGCGTTTTTCATGTAGACAGAGATTTTTGTAAAAACGGAAGGAAAACTCTGTTTATAAAAATACACATGTACATGTGGACATGGCCTCAGAGCGTTGAAAAAGTAACACTGAAGCAGTGTTAACATTAATGAGATAATTAGTTGATTAACTGAATAATGATTGAGCATTAATGAGGAACACCTGCTGTTAACAAACTGAACCACTGAAAGAAAGAGAAACAAGACCAGAAAAAAAGAGATGAGACGACTAGAAATACAAGAACTACAACTGACTTCAGCCGCAGCCATAGATGAAATCAACGCAAGATAAAAGAAGACATTAAATCTCTCAAGTTCTCGGCAGAGGTTGATTAAACAACTCCACAAACATCATTACCAGCTTCACGCATTACTAACCAGGGGTGCGTTTCCCAAAAGCATCGTTAGGTAACTATGGTCGTTAGTTCCATTGAACTCTATTAGTAACAACGGAACTTGCGAGCAAAGTTGCTTTTGGGAAACACACCCCAGATTGATTTTAGATGTTGATGTTTTAGTTTTGTTTGAGTTACCATTATCGAGGTCAATGTTTGCTTTAGTTGGGCTCTTGACCCTTGATTTTAAAACATTAGTATTTATTTGATTGCAGTAACTGTGAGTTTATTAGACATGTTTGTTATGGCAATCAGGTGTTGATGGTTATGTTTTAATAAATACATAATTGGTAGTGATGGGTGCTTTCAAAGCACTGTTTCGTGAAGCTTCGAATCATTTGTTTTCAAAACAGTGGATTTGACTAGTGATGGAAGAAACTAATCTTTTTGAAGCTATGAATCAATTGAACCAATAAAACATGCAAAAACAGCTTTTACAAACCCAATGCAAATACTTTCTTCAAAGTATATTAAATGCACTTTAAATAATAAAATACCATAAAATATGAAATGTCTGTATGTATGTGATTTAAAAATATATATACTATTAAATTGCAGGGCTTGTTTAGTTTGTTTTATGGAGAGCTTGTCTAAACAGGCCAGTAAGTGACTATTAACTCTTTCCCCGCCATTGACGAGTTATCTCGTCTTTTAGAGGACAACGCTTCCCCGCCTAAGGGGCGGAGCTTACCGATAGGTCAATTAAACACAAGACTGAACACTTACTGACGTGGTCTGGAACTTCATTAAAAATAAAGTTCATCCGAGCTTTCCTAGAAGGAAGGAAGCAAGGCAGGCAATATAAAGACTGTTTTTTCCACAACTTGGCACTACACAGTGTCTTGTTTTCTTCAGAGTCATCTTTATCATTTGGTTTCTGCATAGACCTGCGTTTGCATTCCTCGTTATTTACACTACATGCACAAATCAGTGGGCGGGGCTAGTGATGTAGAAGCAGTTGTTGATCTTCTTCTGTGGAAGCGGTGCTTAGCCACACTATTCTTCTTAAAGTGGGAAAATCCACAACCTGTCATTTTGACAGACTGGCTTTAATATAAGCTGTTTTTAGACTAACAAGAAAGTTTTGAGTTCTGAAACTTACAGGATGTTTTTAAAATACACTGACCTCTTATATATCAAAAGATCATAGGGAATTTCGATTTCTCCATTCGTGTCCTCTTTAAAATAATTTCTTAGTTTGTGCTTGTGCTGGCAAGTTATAATCTCTATAGCACTGATCCTGTGTGAGAGAGAAAAGTAGTGCTCATACAAACACACACAAGGAGGTGTTTCTTTGTTCTCCATGTCACACAAACATACTGTCACCATGAAGCTTAAACACAATCTTAAAGATCATTCATGTTCTTCACTCTCTGCAGGCTGTGGGACTGTACTATTGGAGAGGAAGGCTGTGCTGCTCTGATTTCAGCTCTGAGATCAAACCCCTCACACCTGACAGAACTGAATCTGAACTATAATAAACCAGGAGATTCAGGAGTGAAGCTGCTCTCTGCTCTACTGGAGGATCCACACTGTAAACTGAAGAAACTACAGTGAGTCTCTTCACATCTCAGTAACTATAAGATTTCAAGTTAAAGGTCAAATTACTCAGATGTGTTTTTTGTAGCAGTGGTTTTGTTTGTTGTCCTCTCACCCTCAGTTTTAAACCCTTTTATATATAGTGCCATTGGTAATCACAGTGTGACGATATATAGCCATATCGCACAGGTACAATTTTGATATTTGGTTTAAACAACAGTTTAACGGCACAATTGTGTAAATACATAAGAAACAACAACAGAGTGTCTTTAAAAACTCTCTTTTGTGCAAAACTACTTTCTTCTGCCTGAGATTCAAATCTCAGTTTGAAAGTTTAACAGCTGAGCCCGAGCCTCGGTTACTAATTTGAAAATGGCACTTTAGAATATATTAATGAACGTTGAGTGAGTGTGATAACCTGCATCTGATACAGCATTCATTCTTCAGCTCAATCTCATATTCACAATAAAATATTAGTTTGAAAGTTTGCTAAAGAAAGCAATATCTTTGTCATACTATCCTTTCATCTGTTAAGAGTGATTTCTGATAACATCGCTGCTCACTCAGTGCATTTCTTGGCTGCGTCTTACAAGCTGTTGTTGAAAGTAAAAATAACTTCCTTGTTTGCCACTCTGTTTCAGTCTCTTTCAATATAAAAGTCTGCTGACTCACTCATAAAACAGTCACTTGTCGCCATCTAATGGCGGACCAATGTAACTAATCACCTTCACGAACACACGCACTGTTTCCTAATACTAAATAATATTATTAAATTCTACTAAATTTTACATCAAATATTATTTACTGCTTATGTATACTGAATGGTAATATAATAGTAATATTAGTAATAGTAATAATAATGCTTGTTATTTAAAATTGTATATACATTTTTATAAACTCTTTTTTAATTTACCACTTGGCATGTTGACAATAACGTATATCTTCAACATTGTCTATGAGATATGTTTTCAGTGGACTTTCAAATTTTGCTTTGCTTGAGAAAGCATGAAAATTCTATGTTTTTTTTTTGTTTTTTTATTGGATTTAGTCAAGTTAATTTTTGGCAGTCGAGATATAACAGCAACAGCGCATTTTTTGCCAGCAAACCAAAGAGTACATGCAACAATCCTGAAGAGTCATAGCAACAGATGAGAGATGCCAAAGCTGTGGAGAATCTGCTTGTCCGGAAGCTTGCGTAACTGACGTAGATTTACAGAAAATTACCGTTTTTTTTTTTTTCAAATAAATAATTTCACATACTTATTCCCAACACTTTATTAAGCTTTAAGTTACATGGGACTCAAATTACAAGGGACCAATTTATAATCATGTTTATATTAATTAGCCTGTGAACTCATTCTCTCAGACCGACTGGGTATGCGGAGCATTCGCAGCTTAAATCCCAGCTAACAGAATTTTGTTATAAGAACGTTCTTCAAATATTCAGTGCTAGTTCTGGGAACATAAAAAATTTCCAGTTTTCTTGACGTTAGAAGAACATTTCCTCAAACATTCTTTCAACTTAATTTTTATTTAAAATTCAACATTCTAGGAACGTTGATTTGTAACATTCCAAGAACATAAAAATATCCAGTTCCATTAATGTTAGTAGAATGCTATTTAAAGGTTAGTATGATGTTCCTGAAACATTCTTTCAATCATTCAAACACCTGCTGTGAACAAGCACTGAAAGAAAGAGAAATAAGAACACAAACTACAACTTTCTTCAGCCACAGCCTTAGATGAACTCAAAATAAAATATATTAAATCTCTCAAGATCTGTTTAAACAACTCCACAAACAGCATTCCCAGCTTCACTTACAGTATTACTAACCAGATTGACTTTATTTCTGTCACACGTCTACAGAAGTTCTTATTGAGAATTAACAGAGGTTTAGATGTTGACGTCTTACTGAAAATATTTTGTTTTAGGTCATCATCATGGAGATCAGCGTTTGCTTTAGTTGTGCTCTTGACCCTTGACTTTTGTCGAGTTGTTTCTTTTGCAGCAATTGCAGATGTTTTCAGAAAACATTTTTGTGTTGATAAAGCAGATCAACATGTGTTGAAGACAGCTAGGGCCAATCTTTCCAACTGAAGCATCAGGAAGGCAAAAAGTCAGTACTCCAGGAGGATAGCCCATTGTTTCAGTGACAGCAGAGACACTCGGAGCCTGTGGCAGGGGATACAACATGTGTAGTTTGAACAGCTGTATTTTCTGTTGCTTTTCTTACTTTTAGAATTAAAATATTATGTGAGACAGAAATAATAAACTCAAATGTGAATATATATATATATATATATTTATACAGTATACTCAGAAGTGAGTACACACCTCATATTTTTGTAAATATTTTATTATATCTCTTCATGTGATAACACTGAAGAAATGACACTTTGCTACAATGTAAAGTAGCGAGTGTACAGCTTGTATAACAGTGTAAATTTGCTGTCCCCTCAAAATAACTCAACACACAGCCATTAATGTCTAAACCGCTGGCCACAAAAGTGAGTACACCCATAAGTGAAAATGTCCAAATTGGGCCCAATTAGCCATTTTATCTCCCCGGCGTCATGTGACTCATTAGTGTTTCAAGGTCTCAGGTGTGAATGGGGAGCAGGTGTGTTAAATTTGGTGTTATCGCTCTCACTCTCTCATACTGGTCACTGGAAGTTCAACAAGGCACCTCATGGCAAAGAACTCTCTGGATGAGACCAAGATAAACTTATTTGGTCCAGATGGTGTCAAGCGTGTGTGGTGGCCACCAGGTGAGGAGTACAAAAACAAGTGTGTCTTGCCTACAGTCAAGCATGGTGGAGGGAATGTCATGGTCTGGGGCTGCATGAGTGCTGTCGGCACTGGGGAGCTACAGTTCATTGAGGGAACCA